AAAATCATCGTACCTGATCGTGGAGTGAGGTCCTCTACTTATGGGTGGTAGTCCCGCTAATCTCGCGACGGTTACACCCGGTAATCTCGGGACCGTCGGTTACACCCGGTAATTACGCCGTTGACACTAGCTCACCTCGGCCCCCACCGAGCTTCCCGGTAGATCGGACCTCGGCCAGGTTCACCTCGGCCCTCATACTTAGCATCTGTCAACGCTGGTGGTGGTGATCTCGGCGGCCCGAGCTGGGCATGACTCATGAGTCATCTTGGAGCACCAATAGAGGTCCTCCACGTGTCTAGGGTATTCTCTCCCCCAAACAGATTTAATAAATAGTCATAAGATCTAAATTTTAATTTAATTGGTGGTATTTGACTGTGATTATCATATGTAAAAAATTCCTTGTCCACACCTTTATGATTGTGAGTATTTTTTCTTTTTCATTTTGAGGATACCATCATTTAATCTGTTAATTAAACTAATGTGGAATTTACATAATTTTTAAAACCATAACTAAAATTTTTAAAACAATTTCCAAATTTTTTAATATGATCCCATTTTCAATAATCCATAGGCATCTATATTAAATTTTTGTGCACGTCTTAAGATAGATCTCCTCAATCTCAACCACACATTTTCTATTCTTGCAATTTAAACGCCATTTGAGAAAAAGCTTTTAGTCGTTAATTTAATTGTATTATTTAGTCATTAATTAATTGTACTTGAGAATGACCAAATTGTGTAGACAAATCAAATCTCATATATAAAATCCCCACTTGGTTGAAGATTTTGACATAACAATCGTTTTTAATATGAAATTACCATTTTACCCCACGAGGAAATTAGGTTAATGTAGTAAATCCCCTACAAAATGGTCAATTCACTCCTTTAAATATATGATATTTTTGGGGTTAAAACATGGAGACTTTTCTATTACTAATTTTGTATCTTCAAAGAAAGTTTTGAATCCAATTGAGATTCTATTCATACATGATTAAACAGTATTTAGTTTATTAAATGAATATCATATGCAATTTTAAATTTCATTTTTTTGTATTCTTGTAAGTACAAACGTATAATTAATATGTATTAAAAAATATATAATTAATTAAAAAATAGTTCAAAYATAACATAATTTTACATTTTTCATTATAATATGTAATTAATTAAAAAATGTCAACTTGTAATATATTAGTCTTTTAAATTGTGCAAATAAACAAATTTTTTTTTGTTAACAAAATATTAAGTGGGTACTGGCCAGAAAAAAGAGGTTCACTTCAAATATATGAAGGGAAGGTTGAGATTCACAAATACACAATTAAAATATAATATATTTGAATAGTATTGCCCATGGCCTCTAGAGATCCTACCACCAATATAGCTATTTTTCAAAATGTATAAATTTATTTATTTGCAAGTTTAAATACTATTTCCGTATTTGTACATCACTTAATTCATTGTGGTAGTTGTATTTTCAAAGCGTCAATTATGATTATGGTACTTTCAGTGTGTATGCTGTCGAAGCATCTGCTTTTGTTCTTTGTTTTCCTTTTTTATCTATTTTTTCTAATGAAGGGAAGAAAAGTTAGAACTAGAACCATATTAATATTTAAATATTTACTAAAATACTATTATGATCCTTCTATTTTCTAAATGTTCATTTTGGTACCTATACTATTAAAAAGTGGTCATTTTTATTTCCTCATTTTATTTTTAATCTCATTTTTTCTATTACAATTTCAACACAACACTCCACTAATGTATATTTTTTGAAATTCAACAATAATTTTATACTAAATGATTTCAACTATAGGTAGAATTTATACTAAAATCTTATAAATAGGAACGAAAACGATTATGATTATTTTTTAAAGTACAGTGACAGAACAAACTTTTTAAAATTACAAACACTAAGATGAATTAATAGTTATATTTTAACCTTAAATATATACACACACATATTATTACATACACTTTTTTGTAGGGTTGTGGAAATGAAGCGTATTCAGTATTTTGACTATTGAACTAACTTTTTTGTTCCCATTGCAGAAACTTGATCACGTGGTGTACCATCCGGTGCACGTGACAAACATAGTTCATAAAAACAATGTGGGATACCAATTTCCGAGCCAGAAGGCGGAGGCCCCACAAAAGCAATTTTCAATTTCTGAAACTCCGGCGACCCGCCTTCGTCTCCTCCGACCTATAAGACCCAACTTCACTCCCATTTCGCCCCACAGATCTCGCTTCTCTTCTCACTCTAGATTCCTTTCCGGCATTTTCTTCATTCCTGTTCTTCTTTTTTCTCTCTCGTTTTCCCGGAAAATTTTTTCACTGGTTCTTCTTGATCGGCGACGTCGCTACCTCGAAGAAATGGCGGGTGAGAAATGGGTGCTGATGGTGACTGCGCAGACGCCGACGAACATCGCGGTGATTAAGTATTGGGGGAAGAGGGACGAGGCCTTAATTTTGCCTGTTAATGATAGCATCAGTGTTACCCTTGATCCGAGCCACCTCTGCACCATCACCACCGTCGCCGTTAGTCCTAGCTTCGAGCAGGATCGGATGTGGCTCAATCGCAAGGTAACATTTCTTTCAGTCTCTCTCTCTCTCTCGCTCATTCGGTGGAATTCATGTCATTTTGGTTGGTTTATGGTTGTTATGAAATTTGGTGTATTCTTTGTTGTTGGGAACTTTGGTCAACTGTAATTTGTGAGTTACGGAATTTACGCGATTTGCACCGTTAGAAATGCTTTTGATGAAATTTATGCGAAGTCTTCTCTATTTTGGGAACCTGTGCGAATGCGGCGAAAATTTGAAAGTAAGTTTAGGTCTATTTTGGTTCCCGATCGACGAAGGCTTCGTTATGTGGAAGGACAAGGTTCTTGAACGTTGGTACGCGTTTGGTACCACTAAATCCAATAATGGTTGTAGAAGTTTTCTTTCGAAAAGGATTCATCGTTGACTTAAGCCCACGGGGTTGGTGCTTCGTGGAACGTGGTGATTCCAGTGACAAAAGCACTTGGAAGTTCGTTTTTGGCCGTAAAACTTTGCTGGAGGAGAGATCTTCTTTTGTGTTTGGTAATAGAGCTACCTTTTTTTGGAAGCACCTGTGGTGTGACTTTAGACCTCTTTCCTATACTTTTCCTCGCGTGAATAATACTGTAGTGGAGGTTTCAGAATGGTGTCTTGAATATATGGGGTCTCTATGCCAGAAGAAACCTCAGTGACGATAAGACTTTTCGATGGGATCTTCTTATGCAGAAAGTAGAAGTTTGGAGGTCAATGGTGTTTTGAATTTATGGGATCTATCTATATGCCAGAAGAAACCTTAGTGACGAGAAAGCTTTGCAGAAAGTAGAATTTTGGAGGTCAAAGGTGCCACAGACTCTAGGAGATGACTTTTTGGCGGATCTAGTAACTTATCTACAAAATTCCTTTACAGACATTTAATTGAAGGGGGGACAGCTTGAATCCAGCTTGGTTTGTGTTGGTGCATTTTGGGAGGTCTCTTCCGCAGAAGATGAACATTTTCCATTGGGTATCCTGTTGTTGGCTGTACGGTGTACCAACCCCTCTTGATAGGGTCCAAACCAGAGCACTAACTATCTACCCCAATTGGTGCTAGGAGGAGGAGGAGACATGAGATAACTTGTTTGTGAATTTCTCTTTTGCTTGGAACCATGACATAATCTCTCTCTCTTGTTTATTTTGGATGTTCTTCCTAACTCTATCAGTAGCTTTCTTTGACCACCAATTAAAGAAGAAAGCTAAATTCTTATTATGTCAGTGTGAAGGGCTACCGCATGGGAGCGACTCGATAGAAATAGAATAATTTATGAGAGAAAAAACTGTTGAGGTTGTCCAATAGGTCTTTTTCTGTTCCTTCCACTTGGAACTCCTTGTAGACGTGTGTGCATTTTTATTAACATAAAAATGTAATTATAGCCTCTCTTTGATATTTGCTCATTCAATCCCTCATTTTTAACCCCTTGGCTTAAGCGGGATTTTCCTTTTGTAAAAAGCTTTAAATATTTAAATATCTAAAAGTTTTTGGGAAACCAAATACTTTTTTAAGTATACTTAGTTTTTGGAAAACCAAATACTTTTAAGTATACTTTCTTATCTTTGCTTTTAATACTTCAGGGAATTTTTGTGGGATCATGAATTAGGTGGGTGAGTTTTTGTGTGTCTTGTAAAGTGGGAATGTATTTTATAATTGAATATTTTATGTTACCACATGCATACATGCATACATACGTATTGGCATTTCTCTATCAAATTGTAGAAAATGTGATGAAATAAACTTTTAACAGTCTCTTTGTTTTGTTATTTGGTTTTTTGGTTTCATGCTGGTGCTGGTCCATGATGGTTCTGTTTTTCTGGTTAGTGTAGGAGATATCCCTTTCTGGAGCCAGGTATCAAAATTGTTTAAGGGAAATACGCAGTAGAGCTAATGATGTTGAGGATAAAGAAAAGGGAATTGAGATAGCCAAAAAGGACTGGGAGAAATTGCATGTATATATTGATTCATACAATAATTTCCCAACTGCTGCTGGCTTGGCTTCCTCTGCTGCTGGTTTTGCTTGTCTCGGTAAAACCTGACTTCACTCTTAATTTAGGAATTTTCATTTGTTGATTGGTTTTGGGGTTTAAGGTGTACTAGTTCAGGTTTGTTTATTATTTATTAGTACTAAGTTATAATTAAAAAAAAGGAAAAAAATACTACTTTTCATTGACATGTGAAAAGTACAAAGGAATAGGAGACCAAACGGAGAGGGAAGGGAGATTAAAGGAACATGGAGACATATTATTTCTCAAAAAACTAAAATAAAATAAGGACATGGACAAGTGGTAAAATGACCGTTTTCATTAAATATGTGTGAAGAGTGGGGACATTTTGAAGATGTTTGTGAAAAGGTCCCATGATTTATCTCCATGTCTGGCTGTGAGAATGACTCCTATT